AATCACGGACACTCATATTTTGTTTTGAGGGGTGTGCGATAGACTTACCTCCACGTGGTGCACCCTGGGCAACGTATACTCATACGTCAAAAAAGTCTATTAACCGGCATTTGACTTCTGACTTCAAAATACCATGGCCCGACCGCATGTCATATTCGACCCCTTCCACAGTACTCATCTTACCTTTATCCCTACCTTTGTGTCTGTCTGCCTCTTTTACATCTGTGAATCGCTCTTCTGTTCCCCACCCCTCGACTTTCTGCTACTTTGATGAACCTTCCCTCTATGAAGCCCGAAGTCAGCTAAATGGTTAATGATAGCTATCAAAACGCCTGCCATTTGAAATAAATTAATATTTTGTTTTGATATAACTGCTTGAGATATTTTTTGTCCTTACATTCAATTATGTAGTAGGATATAAAATACGCTCGTGAACGGAAATGCTTTTCAATTGAGGATTGAGTACTTTCTTATCCTATCATCATATCGGGCTTTCTTAATGAGTGTTTTTCATTCAGATTCTTTTTTTAGCCTTTGGATGTTAAATTGAACCATAGAGGAATATTTCGATACCTTTGTTCACCTCAAGCTTTATGCACCTTAGCAAAGAGTGGTTGAGTTCCTTTGAGCTCATATAGTCATTTATTATTTATAATCTTCATGTGTTCACTAGTAAGCTAAATATCGGTGTAATAGGCAACCTTTTCGTTGTTTAACCTATCATCTTTCATATACCGCTACTGTGGTATTTTGTTGGCGATTTCAAAGTTGAAATACACAGGTCTTTGCCATGATGTGACTTCTATTTATGATCAATCTTATCAGGTGCTGACACTCACGATCCTGACAGATTGACAACTTTTCTTAAATAATCTGTGGTACCGGCGGCCAAAGTATACCAGTAATATAAGGATAACGAAGAACACTCCTATTAAGTGCCTCTGCTGAAAGAGCACTGAAGCTGGAACAGAACTAAAATTAACTTCACCCCTTCATGGCCTTTGGACTCATCGACTAAGATATAGTTTTTGACTATTCCATGAAATTCGTCTTTGAGATAGCTAAAGGATTCACTCAGCACGAAGAAAAACATAGGGCCGATGCCTTGACCTTAGACTATCGACTTCCTTTCAGGATCACTGAAAGACATGACTCATTGATAACTTTCGCATGTTCCGTCTCGATGTCAAAATGGCGGATTGAACTTGAGCTTGTCTCCAAGTTAAAGTACAAACCTTTCATTTTCGAGCACTCTATTTCTAGTCTTTTAATTATTTCCAAATGGAAGTAGCCGCATTTTGTAACTACGAGTTAACTCTAGGCCTCTTTAACGTACTGTGATATTACTCGCCATTCTCTGAAACTCGCAACCAACTTTTACTGTTCTAAGCGTGGCTCCATTTCGTATTGAAAGTGGAAAATATTATATTCGAATTTAGTATTGGGGAAATGCTAAAAGTCAGTAAGATTTAGTGCGCGTGTGCGGTAAAAATGCAATTGGATTATTCTCTACTTTGATTATTATGGCCGAAAATACTCATATAAAATAATAAAATAAAAGAGCTGAATAAATTTTGGCGCATGAAATTTGGTACATTCTCGACATACCTTGATTCTGGAGAGCTCTTGCGTCACGGATATTCATTAAAACACCGAGACTATATCTTCAACTCCGTCTCCCCACTCCCATTGTGGTTACGGTTACTTTCAATCTTATCTTAACTTGATTCCAACGTCCCAGTCCTATTTAACTCCTATCTGGGCTGGTATAGACGAATCACTTGGATAAGCGTTTGGCTTTAGACTTTAGAATTGAATGCGTAGAGAGTTATTAAAGTGGAATTCATTATTTTACTTAAAGGAATGCAAAATCCAGCACATACATGAGAGAACAGATGCATATAGACCTGCGAAAAGGTAGGCACAGAGAAAGATAGAGAGGGAGGGAGAGAGAGGGTGAGAGGGAGAGAGAAGCAACAGTAAAGAGCAAAGGGATAGGGGTGTCGAGAGGCAATAAATCAGATCGGTAAGTCGATCAATAAGCCAACACACGCAGAAAGAATAGACACTCAAGCACCTACACGGCGAGAGAAGAAGAGAAGAAAAGAAGACGAAGTAAGAGACAAGTTTATTTTACAACACATGAGCATATATTATGAGTAGAGGAAGTGTTTAAGTGGGAGGAGGAAGAGCAGTTGATTTGTTAATATCACGAGCGCTGGTTGAGCAAACACATCCTTTGGCTTACCGAGGTAAACACTTGGAGGCGGTGTATAGGAGATGTGGGAGAAGGGTGAGGTTGAATGCTCCATCTGCTTCTTCTACTAGTAGAACGCACCCTTTATCTCTGCGACGCTCTTGAGAATATAGTTGTGACTAGTTCGCAGGTTATTATTATGTGCTACCTCGATCCACTTTACATGTTCGTCTGCTATTCCTTCCGAGAATACCTTGTATCACAAGAAAAAGAACACATTAAGATTTAAATTTAAATACATTGCCTGTATCGTATTGCCTGCTAATTAAAAGTGTTCAATATAAAACAAAAGTGAAATATACTGGGCAAGTTTATTTATCGATATGACTAATCGATGTTTATTAATCGGTGTGTGCGTCAAGGATGATATAAGCTACGACGCTCCTTGCTACGATAAAATTGGATGAAGGTCATCAATCTTACCAGGCCACTAATTAACATCGAGAACCTGCATGCAAACAAACACGAGCTGGGAGCGTAGACGAACATGGTGTTTTAGAGGATAATGACTACTGTGGCAAGATGGCCGATTCTTGTAATCTTTGGTGCCTTTAGTGCTTTTATGCCATATTTCCATCTTTTATTTATCTTAACGAATTTACGATAATCCGTACTTGCTTTTCATATCTACAATATGCTATATATAGAGTTAAGTAAAATACGCTTCCTACACATCCTACTAATCGCCGATAGACCTGTTAGAAGCAATTTCAACTAAAGGTAAGAATTATGAGATGCGTTTCTGTGACACATTTTTTCATACTAAGTATTTCTAACACTGGATAGTTCATTATTAAGAGTACCTTTAGAACATCGTCAGTAAGTTGAGCACCCTTTCCTTCGCCTTCATGGAAGTTGATCACCACGGTTTCTATCCATCCGCCGTCGGCATTCAGTTGATCGTCAAGGTACCCCTTGAATATCTACAACATCAAGAAAGGCTGTTATTAGACACCACTTCTCAACTTTCTCTCAAGCAGAACCCATATTTGTAATTACCTGAGTAGTGTCCGTCTTATCAAGACGACGCAAGAGCCGTTCGGCTCGTTTCTCCGAGCAGACAGCACGAGCGCGTTGTTTGAAGTACGCATTCAGAAGGGCTGGAACGCACTCGTCGTAGTCACACCGACTCTCGTGATCAGTGAAAAACTATTGTACAATGAGAAAAAAACGGAGTAATTTGCAATATGCTTGGTTTGAATTGTCTACACATTCGGCATCAAGTATGTGTTTAATTAACTCAATTCTAAGTGCTCTTACTAAAAGCATCAATATCGTTTTGTCGATCGTAAGAACTAAAACGTTTACTTTTCTGTCAAGAGTAATCTCATTTGTGCCAACTAATGACACTGACATTGAGAGAGGTGTCACCAGTCTCTCCATATAACTTGCTTTATTCTCCAGCAGTCGGACGATTGCAAACTGAATTAAAACATTTTGAATTAACAAGGCACAAATTGTTGCTCACAGTCTACTCCTGAAGACCATAATCTACCTGAATTCCATCCAACTACAACTGATATTGTATCTAATTTTTGACTTAAATATTCCAATCTATCCATCTTCAACCCTCAAAAACTATAGCATTAAAATTCATGTCCTCTGTCGAAATATCGTCGTGAATAGGCCATCTTGTTAAAATTTATTCCAATAGTTCAATCCCATGTATACCATTAACTGAATTTCCTCTTATGTGCCAACGGGGGGTTAATAGTAGGAATACTTACTCATTTATACACATAAGAGTCGACTCACAATTGGTAGTTGAAAGTCAATTTCGGTAAGTCTTGACTCCTGAATTTCAGGCATTAGATTAGTGATAGAAAACAGCGTACATTTATAATTTAATAAAGCAAACAAAACAACAGAGTTGAAATATGATATCTTTCTTGTAGCTCTAACGCACTTTAGTAGAATGCAGTAAAAATGTGGATTACAAGTGATTTTTGATATGCGTGGTATCCACGCTCCCAGAGTTAGATCGTATGACGAACTTCCAGAGTTTGATTGCCAACGTCTCGTTAAATTAATATGATTCGTTTACCCATGGAGTTGTAGTTGCCGTAATATTGGAGAGCAGAATTAATTCAATGTATGTACCGATTGGATTTTCTTCTAGAGCTTCAAAGTAAAATTCCTTTTGTAATGTGGGTTTCCAGCTGTACCATAGATATATCATATGCTTTCTTGGAATGAGTACACAAAACGATGAAGGCCACATATTTTTAAATCCCCTCAAGACTATTACAAACATATTGTCATTTTGAACAGGCGATCGAATCCTCTAAAGAATTATTTTCAAATTCTGTTGAGCTCTTCTTCTTCTTCTTGGAATTCGAAATGAATTCTGCATTTCAAATGAGGAGACATTATTTCAAATCTCAACCCATATCCTCTTTTGAATATGTCTGCTTACTATCTGTATAACAGAAAATGATGCCAGATTTATAACCAAAGTATTTTAATAAAATAAATCAATTTTCTACTAGTACCAAAAGTATCATGAAATAAGGTTTACCCAGGGCAAGCAGAAGCGTTTGAGACGTTCCAATGCGACAACTTGTAGTACTCCCTTGTTGCCTCTTAGTACAGGAGTTCCTGACTTTTGATTTCGACTCCAACGAGTCACTACGATGACAACGGAATGGTTGGGTCCCCAACGAGGAAGGAGGCCCTTTCCCAGGAGTCCGGTTCGTCCCATTGGGTTTAGGGGAGCCCCTGTGTTGGGGTCGAGCCGATAGCGACCCAAGAGACTCTGTCGTCGAATGTGATTCTTAGAGTCATAAGTGTTAAACGGAATGCTTCGCAGAATTGCTGAACTTCCAAAGCTTACGCCATGCTGGAAGCTGTAATTAAAATAAATTCATGAAATAAATCAAGTATTAGGCTCCAAACAACATGCACATATGTACAATGCAAAATTCGGAATTCAAGCTCTGTACTTCACACTATGGAGAATCATTTAAATTGGAGCTCTTGATATCTTGACTACAACATCCATATGCAATAAACCTAATCATTTTGCTGCTTCTCCTTTTCTTCATACGTTCCAAATATCATTTTCCTTTTTTCTAAATGGCCTCGAGGTAAATTTATGATTCAGAAAGGCTTTCTTTCTAATTTATAACACTAATAGTAAAGCTAATTGATGAAGTTACACTGTATGATTACTATTAATAACACTTGATAGTCATGCAAAGCATAATTTTAATTACACATAGCTGAATTTGATTTCTTTGGTCTTCTTTATCATCGGTAGTTTTTGTTTTGGTCTGAACTCCCTATTAACTTTAGTTTCTAAAATTAGTTTAATTGTACAGTTATCTCCCACAAACCAAAGGGTATTTAAAGATAGCGGTAGTAATTTCTCTCCAATGAAATGCTATTTGTCCTTGAGAGGTAGTTTTAATGCATCTCAACTAATAATCTCCAAGGGAAATGCCTAGCTACATTTCAGTTTGTGGCAAGTGAAATTGTGCTGTGAATATGTGAATGAACAAAATGTACACCATCACATCTTTTTTTGCGAAATTAGGATAAGATAAAGATCGACCTACTTTTCACCATCATGAGCGCTTTCGTCAGAATAGATCACTGTCTCCTCAGATGAATCGTAGGCGAAGTAATCGGGATATCGCGTCTAAAATTTAAAGAAGGGGCCAAATCAGAATTGTAAGGTTCTGCTTTACGAAAAACAACAAAACACTAGGCTAACAATGTTAATAACATTTGGACCAATGGGGTGCGTAATAGACTTACCTCCACGTGGTGCACCCAGGGCAACGAATGTTCATACGGCAAAAAAGTCTATTAACTGGCAGTTGACTTCTCACTTCAAACTACCACTACCACTACTTCCACAGTAATCGCCTCACCTTTTTCTAGTTTTGTGTCTGTTTCTTTTACATCTTCGAAACACTCTTCTCTTCCCTCCCCCCCTCTCGACTTTTTTTACTTTGATTTTCCTTCTCCGCTGTAAAGCGTGAAGTCAACTAAAGGCCTAATGATAACTATCAGAAGGCCTCCCATTTGATATAAATACATTTGGACCAATAAAACTATGGTAATATCTATAGTATTTGCAATTTGAACATTCACTGAAACACAAAAAACAAACATATTGTGCAATACCGATGCCAAATTTTTCATTTTTAGGGAAATAATTTATTATTACACATGTCTTGAAATTAACTGTTAAGGACTGTGGGGGTTAATTGTTTCCTGTATAAAAGAAATACTACCTTTTTGAGAAGTATAGTAAACAGGAACATGACAGAAAATCAGACAGTCCACATGCGTAAAGGCCTTATCTAAAAGTCTTTGAAAATATTCAGCCCAAAAGTGAAGTCACATTCAAGAGGAGCTTAAGTTTCCTTCGTCGAAATATATAAGTTACGGCATCTTTAAAATGAGTCTTAACCGA